ATTAGACCTACCTTTTAAACAATGTATTTAAGTAGTCCGTATCCTTACTTTTGTTTGCTTAATCAGCCATGGATTAAGAGAAGTGAATTAAAGTATCTATGCGTGTTTCTGTTTGTCCTATATTTCCTGTCATTTTTGCTTCATTGATTTTGATGCTGTGTTATTTGTAGTATAGATACTTACAATTATTTAATCTTCATTGTGGATATACTTTATAATTGTAAATTGCCCTTGTGATTTCTTTAAAAAAGTCTTTTTTACATTTGTTTGTGTCCTTCTATATATAGTGATTGGGTTTTGCTTTGTGATGTAAAGTTTTCTCTTTTAATTGGTTGGGTTTAGGCTCTTTAGTTTATGGATCGAAAAGATGTTTGGTCTTATAAAATATGACAGAACCAATGTATTCCTTTAAATGATGGTATGAATTGTGTTTTCTTTGCTTCATTTTAATTGTTTTTCTTTACTTAATTGTCAATGTTTTTATTTTTATTCTGGTTCTTCTAGTGGATACTATTATACCTATAATTTTATATAGCAAACTTAATTCTTTATTTGTTTAGATGGCATTTAGATAGCATTTCTTTATATAGCGGTCTCCCCACTAAGCAATATCTGAATTATACTTCTACTTTCCCTTTACTATACAATTTTAATTTATATTATTTTTAGTTTTAGTACTTATATTTCATACCTTTATATTTACATTTGTAACATTTGATCTTTTAGCTTTCAAGACTTTTTAAAACTTTCATCTACCTTCCCCATTTTCCTTCAGTCCGTTTAATAGTTTATAAAACTTGCATTTTATTCTGTGACCATAATCCCCATGATTGTTTTAAATGTATTCCTAAAGCTGAGTGAATTTATTGCTCACTGTCAGTACCTTTGGTATAGTTTCTCCATTCATCTCTTAGTTTCTTATATTTCATTCTTTTTAAATAAAAGTTTCCTTAATAAGGATGAATGGGAATTATTCCCTGAAGTATTGCATTAAAAAATTTGTCTCGCATTAATTTTGAACAACAGTTTAATTTAGCTAGGTATAAAATACTTTGCAGTTTCATTGCCTAAATTCTTTTTTTTAAGCTTTTATTTATTTCCTTTCAGAGAGGGGGGGAAGGGAGGGAGCAAGGGAGGTAGAGAAATATCAATCTGTGAGAGAAACATCAGTCGGTTGCCTCTCATACGCCCCAAACTGGGGGCCTGGCACTCAGCCCAAGCGTGTGCCCTGACAGAGTTGACCTTTTTGATTTGATGACCTTTCGGTTTGCAGGCCGGTGCTCAGTCCACTGAGCTGCGCCAGCCAGGGCTCATTTCCTAGATTCTTGATAAGCATTGCTCCTCTGACTTCTGTGCTGAATGTTGCTGTGTGGAAGTTTGAAGTCCAATTCTTTTCTTCCTATAGGTGAATTGATCTTTCTTTTTCTTCAAAGGATTTGTTTTTCTTCTATGGTTGTATACACATGGTTGGATTCTTACCATCTATAGACTTAAATCTTGTATTTCTGGACATTTTTCTTGAATTACATTTCTAATTTTTCTGTTTTTCTTGTTTTCATTGATAATAATTATCTTAGTGTTAGATCTGCTTTTTCTTCTGTATTTATTGTTTTCTAATTCTTATAAACTTTTGTTGATTTCTACTTTATTTTGCCCATTTTCTCAGCCCTGTTTTTCTTACTGGGTAGTTAGTGGTATCTCTTTGGCCTTGGGCTGTTTGCAGCTTTTTTTTTTTAATAATAATTTTTATTTTTGATTACAGTTGCTATACAACAGAGTGATTAGATCTTTGTGGAATGGTTACAGAACATCTGTACTTTCAGCTGGTTCAGGCCCTTTAGACTCCAACTGGCACCCTGGTAACGAGTAGGTGGGGCTGTAAAAAATCTTAGAAAGAGGGGACAGATGCTCTTCATCATCAGCCATGTTTGCCATTGAGTCATATTCCTTCTTTATTAGGTTTCAGATAATTAGAATTCCCCTTTGAGGTTTTACTTTTTTCTTCTCCTATCCACTCCTATAATTTTTTTGCAGAAATTCTACTTTAATTTGAATGCGTATTGTTATGGATGTTTTTAATTTGTGGATTCAAAAATAAATACTTTGGGGATTATTTGGTTTTGTCCTTTGGAAGAAGGGCTGTGGAACTGCCTCCTTGTTCCAGAGCAGTTGGTGTGTTCTTTCCCTAAGGGAGAATTAGGGGTAAATCTTGTGTGAATGGTTTATTAGGCTTGGTGATATTTTAATAAATGCATATATCAGGTGACAGTTGAGGGAAATATATAAAGCTGAGGAAAATACGAATTTAGAGGGTCTTCAGATGTGCGCCCCCCTTTACACTGTGTGTAGGTATGGTAGATGCTTTTTCTTTGGTCAACATACCTCTTACGATGTGGGTGTTCTCTTTTTTGATGAAGGAGATTTTGCTATTATGCTGATACTTGTAGTCACAGATTTGAGGAGCTCTTCTGACCATGTTCAAATCCATTTGGTCCGTGTGGCTCTTGGGAAATGGGAAGGGATTCTAAGTACCACTTTGGACCTCTTAGGAAAACATGGTTCAAAGGAGTTTTGGCCGCAGGGCTTAAGAACTTGGGCAGTGAGTGATCGCCCACCTCCTCTCATTTGCTGTCATTAGGCTGTTTTCCCCAGTAAGTGTGCACCGTAGTGCCACCCCACAGTGTTTTATGTATTTGTCAGGTACACGTGTGGCAGTCTCTCGCCAGGGCATGTGGGGACAGGAAAGGCTGTTCTGGGAGACGGCAACTGGGATCTTAGGCTCTCAGGGCTTCGGGAGGGCTCGTCACCTATCGTTGTGTTTTGTAAAGTTCGACGAGAAATTGCAGGGATAGCACTGTTGCCATTATTGATCTCTCACTCTGTGCCTAGTGCTGTGCCATATGCTTTTGTATACTCTGCCTCATTGTTATTTGAATGGTTACATGAGTTTTCTGTTATTATCCCCATTTTACTGATGAGAAAACTGAGGCTTGCAGGTACTTGCATGACAGTAAGTAGTAGAGTTGGGACTTGAATCCAGGACTCACTGGCTCAAAAGCACATACCGTTAACGACTACTACTGTCTCAGAGGTGATGATTGTAAGTCTTCTATAGCTAAACAAGAATAAGGCATTATAGACAAACAGTAAAAATTCACATTATACATTGTTTAATACAGGTTAACTCTGCATTTGAATAATGAAAACGGACTTTTGCATTAGACTTGTCCTTCCCCTCACACAGTCTAGAGAATCAGACTACAGGGTCCCCCCCTTATCTGTAGACAGTCCATTCCAGGACCCCCAGTGGGTGCGTGGAACTGTTGATAGTACCGAACACAGAATAGGCTGTGTTTTTCCTTTACATGCGTACCTCTGATAAAGTTTAATTTATAAATGAGGCACAGTGAGAGGCCTGATTTGTAACATAACTAATAATAAAATAGAACAAGTGTGATAATATCTGTAGTAGGAGTGATGTGAATGTGATCTCTCTGACAGCCAGTCTGAGAGCTGAGACGGCGGGCGGCATGCGCAGCGGCGATGTGCCGGGCAAAGAGAGGGCTCACGTCCTGGGCAGGAGGGAGGGGGACAGTGCAGGGTTTCATCACGGTGCTGAGAGTGGTGCACAATTTAAAGCGTAGGGGTTGCTTATTTCTGGAGTTTTCCATTTAATATTTTCAGACCACGGTCGATCGCTGGCAACTGAAACCAGGGGAAGCGACACTGGGGATAAGGGGGGCCCTGCATGCAGAGAGAAGGGCGGGAGAGTGAGTGTTGCCTTCCTGCTGACAATTCCGTATGTGGTTAGATGGATTTCGCTTGGATTTTCTTCCTTTTCCTAACCAGGGAAAACCTTTGGGCCTTAAATGTCAAGATGGAAATCTTTATCCTGAATAAAGTGGATTTGGAGACAGGAACCATTATGAATGACAAAAAATTATTTTAAATGGCATCTTCCGTATTTCTCACTGTTAACTTGGAAATATGCTCTTTTGTCATTCGTTGATCCAAAGACAACACAACTAGCATTAGATTGATTTTTCTGGATGGTGTAATAAAGTTAAGTATTTATTTCGTGGCTGTAGTGAAGACTGCTCTGTGAATTCCACTGTAACTTTGTGACTAATGTGACCTTACCTTAGAGGCTTACCAACTATTCCTGCCTTCTGGGCATAATAGAGACAGACTCTCCTATTGTTTGCAGTTACCCTCATAAAAATTTGAAAGCAGGCAAAAGAAAAAAAAAAGGATTTTTTCCTCTCAGGACAAGTTTGCCTTGTGCTTGACAAAGTTAGGTGTGCAGGTCCCCTGTGGCGTGAAGACAGCCCTCCAGGTGCCCACACCTGTGGCGGGGCCGCAGCCCTCTGCTGAGAGGCGGGGCCCTCCCCTCGGGGTGGCAGTGCTGGGCAGGGGCAGAAGGCCTGGAGCAGGCAAGCCAGGCTTTGCTGTTTCACTCTGGGTGTCCATAAAAATAGTCTTTCCTCCCTTCCTGCCCTGCCTGAGAGGTGGAATAGGGAAGTTGTTCGTTTCTGCCAGTGCCTGGCTTAGGACACACTCAGGAGACATTCTGACGTCGACACCTTCGGGAGCAACCCAGCTGCTGAAAACAAAAGGAACAGCACTGCGAGAAAAGTGGCTGCTCAGATCTGGGGCCAGCCAGTGGGTCCAGGGCACTGGGTTGAAGGGAAATTATTCCCGGGCTATTTTGGAGAGTCTAGTCCTGAGGACAATTAAACAGTCCAGACAGGTCACTGGGTGAGACCAATTTCCTGCTTTGTTTATTTGAGCCTGATTGTTTTCACCATGGAGCAGCAGGTCACGGTCCTGCTACACCGTTACCCCAGCTCTGCAGAGAGCAATCCCTTTCATATTTGATTTCTCCGGGCTTCCCTAAGGATCCTGGCCATGCCTTTATCTGGCTGGATTGCTCTGGGGTCTCTCTCAGGTCCAGGGCAGAGGGCAGCGTCAGTAATCACTTTCGACTTCATCTTCTGCAGGCGTTTGGCTTTATGTCCCGAGTTGCTCTACAAGCAGAGAAGATGAATCACCACCCGGAATGGTTCAATGCGTACAACAAGGTAATGAAGCTGCCTTACTTTGGGATCACCTTTCTTACTTACGGAGTATAAGAAACTTCCTTCTCCCTTCTCATCCTGTGCAGCTAAGTGTCATTGTACTTAGGAAAGTATTCTCTTTTTCTTTTTTTCTCAGAATCTATGTGTATTATTGTAATTTAGTAACAAAGTTGTGGATCTGCTCGAGAACAGGGACTAAGCCCTTTATTTTCCTGTTTGTCCCCTTTGAAACTAATATGAAAGTTGGGCTATATTATATTAGGCTCCTGAATTAAACTTGAATATCAGCCATGTAGATAAAATTTTAAACCCTCAAAGTAAATTATTGAAAGACATGATAGCAAGTAAGAAAGATATGGCCTTATTTATCTCATTGATATAAGTATCTTAAGAACTATGCTTTAAATAATAATTATTTATTAAATGCTGTATCCTTAGTGGGACTGGCCTTGCTTAAGACAAAGAGCAGGCTGGAAAGACTGCATCAAGCAGTTTTAAGGGGCACAGTGACAAGAATCAGCCTCCCTCAAAGTCCTTGCCTTTATGGTCATACCATTTAGAATGCCTTATTGTCTAGATTTCTGTGGAGTTCTTTTTTCTCTTTGAAAGTCCTCTTTGAATAAAGAGAATATTTCATGATATTTTTGTGACTTATTAGGATAATTCAGAGCATGCAGGTATCAGTATAAACTTTTCTTCTACAGTTAACCTCTCTTTGCCTATAACTTTGCTTTTGCCTTTTAGTTGATTTGTCAAGAAGTAAGAATCTGTTCCTTCATCCCACCCCCACTTTACTTCCCTAATTTGGAAATGGGCTTTTTTAACCTTGCTAAGATACTACATTTGATAGCTTGGTTTTTTTCAGTGGCCTGAAAATAGTGGGTGTAATTAAAGTAATGGGAGTTCAAATGGAACCTCGGTCTCTTTTTTTCTCAAGAGACAAGATTTGAGATTCTGGCAGCTGAACTGCCCTTCGTGTGAGAGAACCTTTCTACCCCCGGACAACCTCTGGGTGCGGCGTGAAGCAGACTGTGCCCCTGCAGTTTCCTGGGCTTTGGAAATGCTGTGCTTATTCATGTTTTCTAAATCATTTAATCTCTTCAGTTCTTAAATATGAATGTTGGAATATAGATTGATTTCTGAACCACGGAAGAATACCATGAATCACAGGTCAGGTTTTTAAAAACTGCTTCTCTCTTTCCTTAGGTCCAGATAACTCTCACTTCGCATGACTGTGGTCAGCTGACCAAAAGAGACGTGAAACTGGCCAAGTTTATTGAAAAAGCAGCTGCTTCTATGTGATTTCTTTCAAAATGCATGTAAAATCGTATACACATCTCAGGTGCAGTATATTTTGAAGGTGATTAACGTGAACAAATTAAGTTGTAAATTTAAGTTCAACTTTATATACCACATTTTTATAAAATCAGTGCTAAATACAAAATGATTTACATTTGAGTCTGAGGTATTTTTTATTATATCTAAATCACATATATAAGGCAAACCAACCTAGGTAATTATATTAATGATATGATATTCAGAAAGAGAGAGGAATAGCATTCTTAAAGACCAGAAATTGAGGTGGGGGAGCATTTACCCATTTTATAACCCAGAAATTGAAGCGATCATGGGGGCTTTGCAAATGCAGTGTGTTGGAGAATAGTCGTGAGATAGAAAAATAATGAAGGACTCTGTAGCTAAAGGGTTTTTAACCATCTGTAACAATTCTTATGAATGTAGACTTCAGCTGCTGTTATTAAGTAGTTAATTAAACTACAGAGTCACAAAAATTGGTTGGCCTGCCTTGTTGAAGGGAGTCGAAGGGAGAGGACAAGTGTTTGTCTATGGCTTCCAGAAAGGTGGGACAATAGAAGGGTTCACAGTCAAAAATGGCCAACTATTCAGGTCAGCATTTGAATGACTGAGTTAAGGAGGGGCCAAAGGTCATTTGTTTTCATCATTTGCTTGCTGTGACCTCTGAACTGGAGCTCTATTGCTGTTGAGCTGGACGCTACTCGGGTATTATCCAGGAAAGAGCTCTGTTTACTCTGTGTGTCTCTGACAGGAGTAAAGGGGAACAGGAAGCAACCTGTTACTTAAAAATGGCGGCCCTGGCGGGTGTGGCTCTGTGGGCCTTCGAACTGAAAGGTCACCAGTTTGGTTCCTAGTTGAGGCACATTCCTGGGTTGCAGGCCAGGTCCCCAGCTGGGGGCGCATGGGAAGCAATGAATTAGTGTCTCTCTCACTCGTCGATGTTTCGTTCTCTTTCTACCTCCCTTCCCCTCTCTCTAAAAATAAGTAAGTAAAGTCTTTAAAAAAATAAAAATAATAAAATTGTAATAACATTCTGTGAAGGAACTCAGGAGCGTTCTTATTAATGAGCTTAAAATGAAAATTGAAAAATGTATACAGGGTGGGCAGAAGTGGGTTTACAGTTGTTCATATGGAAATAATTCAAATAAACACAATAAGTGATAATAATACAAGGATAAACTCCATGTTTTGTGTACTCACAACCGTAAACCTACTTTTGCCCACCCCTGTATATATTTATCCAAGGAACATGTGGGAACCCCTTGAAGGATTATTGTGGTCGGATGTAATAGGGATCATCTTTGTAACCCACCTCACTTCAGAGGCCAGAACATTCACTCCCCACGCCGCCCCCGCCTCCAGCCTGAGAAGCCCTGTGGGCACGTTACGAGGGAGCTCTGAAGCGGGCTCCTGGCGGGCTCCGGTGGCCGGGGAGGCGGGCCCGGGCAGCCTGCCCTGGGGGTGCTGGGGGTGCAGGGCGGGAAGAGAGGCGCCCCGGGCTCTGTGGCTGCTGGGGACCCGAGCCTGGGTGCTCGGACTTGTGCTCCTCAGTATTTTTTTTTAGAGGAAAAGGCAAATCTATGTGTTTTTATAAACCCTTATTTATAGATTTTCAGGGACTTTTATATATTTTATTACCATTTTATTTTTAGTTCAGTGCTTCAATTTTTTACATGAGTATTTAAACATGACGAAAAAATACACATTTTAAAAGAGTGAATAGCACACTGAATCCAAGAGTTTGCCCCAGTTACTTCATATAATCCCCCATTTCCCTTTTCTTTGCTAAAGTATTTAAGAGCAAACCCCTGACAGCATTTCATTTTACCCCTACATCCTTCAGTAAATATCTCTGGAAAATATGGTCATTTTCTTGTATAAACCAGAATGCCATTATCACACCTAACAAAATAAACCATGATTTCTTGGTATCACCTAATAGCCGGGCAAAATCAAATTGCCTTGAAGGTCAAGAATGTGTTTGGACAGTGATTTTGTTCTAATCAGGATCCACATGAAGTCTCCCCATCACATCTGGTCGTTGTGTCTTTTTAATCTTCCCACCTAGAGCAAGCAAGCTCTCCTCCCTGCCCTCCGCCTTCCCCGTGGTATTGACTTACTGCAAAAACTGGGTCAGGGGTCCTGTAGAACATTCCACCTTCTGGATTTGTTTGTTTACTCTCTTGCGGTACAATTTAACTTGTTTCATTGTTCCCTGAATGGAAACCTTTCCTCGTCTTTGGAATGTATTCTGAGTCTGAGAGGCTAATCTCATTGGCTGTTAACACACCCCACACACCGCACACTAGAGGAAGTAGGACATGGCTCAGAACTGCAGTGGTTGAAGACCTGAGAATACAGCTACTGATTAGCATCTCTATGGAAGTTTAACAGAAGGTTCATGTTAAAGGTGTTGCATCTGCTGGCACTCACAGACTTTACTATAGAGGACCAAAGGTCCCATACCAAGTCTGTGGAAATACTCATGGCGGTAAATTCCAAAAGAACGAGTCCCAAGGCTTGTTTCCGGTAACTGACATTTCAGCTTAAAAGAGGCATTGGCAAGGTTGGAGGCCCCAAGTTCCCTTCTGTTCCAAATCTTTGTGTGATGGCACTGGCGTCTCTGCTGTGGTAAGTTTTGGTTTTCCTCCATTTTCTTTCTAAATGATCACTGGAGTAGAGGGGAGTTAAGTAGACATGACCTATGACCCCTTGCATGATCTCCATAGATAACAAACCAGGGCCAGCATCTTGTCCTCTTCTAAAATGAAATGAATGAAAATTCTGAAAATAATAGTTACTTTCTGACATTGATAAGATTTAGGAAACCTTTGGGTACATAGAATAGGCACAGTTTTTATGCTTGTGCTTATACCAGGAACAGTGGCCTGTATACTTTTGGACGCAGACCCTGACCTTTGTTAGTGTACTGAAGTCTCGGACTGCTGGTGTTGGTGTGAAGCAGCCTTTACACTGACTTAGCATTCGAAAGTATACTAAGTGAACTCTGTAACTTTCAGGTTTTTTAAATTTCCTGCAAAACAGCAAGAACTATTATGGGGTTTGGCTGTAATATGTGAGCTTTGTGTTTCAATGCCAGTTACTAAAGGAAGGACTCCTGGCCAGGAGACTGGAGTCGCCGAGCGGCCGTGCCTGCTGACTGCTGACTTCCCGTCGAATGCCGCTGCTGAGTGCAGTCCCCAAGGCGGGCAGAGTGCGAGTCGCTGCTGACGGGCAGAAGGGTGGCCCTCTGGCTTCTTACCCCAGGATGCCCACGACTTCACGAGAAGATCTGGATTCAGTAGACCCTGATTAGCTTGTCCCCTCTGATTCCACTCAGCAGCGAGTTTCAGGCCCACACGAGAAGGCTTCACCGGTGACTGCAGAAGCTCCGTCTGCAGTGGTGGGCTGTGCTGAAGCAGCGCGCTAAGGACAGCGGGGCTATTCTGGGCTGCGCCCAGCCGGCCACCCTTCCTTACCTCTGCGAGCATCGTGAAGAATTCTGTATATTCTCATTCTCTTCTCCAGTTCTCCCCAAAAGCATTGCTGCCATGCTTAAAGGGAGAAGGCATAGAAATGTATCACTGGCATCCCTGAAAGTAGATTTCCACTGTGTTCAGCTACATGAATGAGCATAAGGGTCCCTGGGGCCATTCATTTGTATATTCATATAGCACACGCTTATTAAGGGCCTTCCATATGCCTCTAATGGAACTTGGCACATGGATGTATTGAGACAGGAAAAACAGAACTGAGTCAGGCTCTCTCCACGCAACTGCTCTAAGAGACCACGGTGGGGATATGGGGCAGGGGCCCAGAGGTTAAGTTAGGAGGCATATGCCCGAAGGAGGCCGTAGGAGGTGTAGGAGGAGCTGACCCCTGAGAGTGAGAATGTCGACAGACGAGATGAGACTAAAGTTTGAATCTTGGGGATGTTAATCAAAGTTATTCTTAAAGCTTGACTGTTGATTTTAAATAAAGGAATTGAGTAAATAAGATGTTATTTCCCAGTTTAGTATATTGGTTGCCTACAGGAGTCTTTCATACAAGGAATGGTCATTTGCCCTTGTGTTTGAACACCTGGGACAGCTGGGTGGTCACTTTTTTTCTTGTGGCCCAAGAACTTAGGTTTCCAGGAATTTGACCAGTTTAGACACTAAAGATTTAGTACAACAGGGCTACCTACATCCCTCTGTCTTGATTTGCCTTAAAAACCGAAGGGGTAGAAGAGCAAGGAGAATATATTAATCCCAAGGACTGAACAGGTCAAAAAATCCTATTGGCTCCTGTATGTAAAGCACCTCTGCCCCATGCGCTTGTTCCACTCTAGGTGGTTCACACACATACGGCCTGTGCCCCCAGTTAGCCTCGTTTCTTAGGTTCTAGCTCCAAACCCATCAAAACGTTTCCTTGCCCTTCCAGGTTTTTCCAAGGCTGTTCCCTTGCTCTTAGAACCTCAGATGACTTTGCTTTCCCCTCTTCTATTAGCCTTAATGTACCATAACATTATTAAGGGCCTTTGTCTGTCAGATACGACACTTGTGAAGAAGAAGGAGTTTTCATCTAGCCTGTCTCTGGTGTCTCTTAACTAGAGCCTGGAGCTGCACAGCTGTGGGTTACTCATAACCCTTTTGCTGAACTGAGGTGCCCAATCCCCTTGGGAAGAGAGGATCTGTGCAGAGACTGACTGCAGAACTTGCCCCTCGAGGGGCCTGCCGGCTAGTAACGTACTAGAATGTCCAAGGGTGACCTCACAGAGCAAGGATTCTCCCCGTGGACCCTTCTCTGCGGCCTCTGGAATCTAGACAGCGAGGAAATCCCTAAGCAGAGGTTTTTTGTTGGATGATAAAAGCGAGGAGTAAAAATTGAAAGTTAGGAAAATGTTTCGATACTTCGATCGCCAGACCCGCACAAGAGTCGTTTCTAGTTCCCAGTCGTATAACGCATTGACAATGTTCTGTGCAAGATTCAAGACGTTTCAGTAAATATTCTCCATTTCTTCTGCTTGTTAGGAAATGGCAGTGGGGGCAGGGCTCTGAGCCTCTTCCCGTCGGTGCTCATGCACTTCTCAGACTGAGGTGCACGTCCTCGACAGCCTGGTATCTCTGACTGGTGGGCTGGGTTAGGCTTGGCCAGACATGTCACTTCTTTGGGTGTAGGGTCAGGACTGGCTGGTTCAGTCATATATTTGGTCACGCTCTTATTTGGCCTGTAGACTGAATGACTAGTTTGCCTTCATTTTGTCCTTTCTTGTTAACTGTGTTAGATAATTTAAAGGCTTTTTAATTTAATTTTATTTTTTTGGGTAACCGACCCTATCTCAAAAAAGGTAATGAAAATTATGTATCTTGTTTGTATACATTATAGCAGTATATACGTTCCGTATTTTTTTTACTGTTATGAGAATTGTTCATTTGTTATATATAATAGGAAAAAGTTATACTCTTTGAGAGAAATTGCAAAGCAAAGATAAATATGAACAAACAGGAAAAAGAATCACCTACAACCTCACCACTATCAACCTTTTGACGTATTTTCTGCCAAGTTTTTTCTACCCATTTTTGCTCAGTTGAGATAATGAGTAGAGGATTTTGTATCATGTTTTGTTTTTGTGTTTTGCTATTCAGTGGATCATAAACATTTTTCTAAATCATGAAAAATGCACAGACATTTTCATATCTGTATAATATTCCATGAGGTGGATATGCAATAATTTGTTTAACCAATCTCTTTTTATAAAGACTTTAAATTCTTCCCATAAATACTGCTGGAATAAATATACTTGGCGCAAGTCACTGTTTGCATTTCAGATTGTATTCTCCGGGGGTAGATTCCTTGGGTCAGAGGAAATGAACAGGCTTTTCAGAAAAGTGTCAGTTTACATTCCCCCTTGCAGTTTATGACAAAGCTCTATCACGGTACACTGTTGCCTGCATTAAATGTTACCATGTTGGAGTCTTTGCTGATTTTATAAGGAATAAGAATAGTTTTACTTAATTTCTATCTCCCTGATTAGTAGTACTGCTGAACACTTTGGGGAAAGTTTATTGTCATTGCATTTCTTTCATGAATTGACTGTGTCTGCCCATATTTTTTCTTAGAGTGTTTAGTTTTTTTATCATTGATTTGTAAGCACTTGTCTGGGTGATTATTTGATTATTATCCATTTTCCTTACTAGACTGACAACATTTAGTTTTGCTCACGTTATATCAGCAGTGCCTGCTGTAATACCTGCCATATAGTAGTTTCTCAATAAAAAAAATTGTTGACTGAGTAAATGAAGGTGGTGCTTTTTTTTTTTTTTTTTTTTTTTTTTTTGCTTGAGAAGGAGTGGTACCCATTCTGCTTCAGAGGTCTGGAGAGAAAGAACTGAGGAACTGCCTGAAGACAGACCCACTAAGTGATCATCATTCACATTTCAAGGGTCGTTCAGCCAGTATTGGATTGCAATTTGAAAGTATAAATGAACTTATACTCACAGAAGAGGGAAAGCAGATCTAGTTCCTACCAAAAAGGGTGCATTGTTTGGGGATCTAGCTCTGCTGTGAGATAATCATACCTCTTATTCAACTTTTTGACAGGAGGAAAGATACTCAATGTCAGGCATTTGTGAAGAAAGTCATAATGAGTCCTCTATTTAAGATAATTATGATTAGCACCATCTCAATGAATGCTTTCTTGTTGGTCTTGTGGACTGATTATGAAACAAGATACAACTTGTTCAAATTTGGTGAGGTAAGCAGACAAAATGGATCCTTTTCTTTTTCTGTTTCACCTATTTTCTGAAAATATTATGTAATTTTTAAGACATGTTGTTTTAAGAAAATTTTCTGTAAAAAAAAAAAATTCTAAGGGCTTTTGAAATACACTCTAAAATCTGGGAGTATGGCCCTGGCTGGGTAGCTCAATTGTTAGAGTGTTGTCCTGATATACCAAGGTTGTGGGTTCAGTTGCTAGTCAGGGCACATACAAGAATCTGTAACAAAATGCAGGCCCAGCGGACCGCTGCTACAAAAGCCAATATCCAAGAGGCAGGTGCTGATGTACAGGAAAATGGTTATATTCAGGTGCTAGGACCTGGGAAATGGGGGACTCTCGTCTCAAAGCCCATCTTAGCATCCCAGGTGTCATGGCTAGTTATAATCCCAAAGGTAACCACCAAGAAAATAAAAATATGCAGAAAAACAAATGAGAAGGGAATGAAAATGGTACACTGTGAACACACACGCGTATGCACGCACACCCAAGAAAGCTGTAATGGAGGAACTGAGGAACAAAAAAAGATGTGACATTTTTAAAAATAGCAAAGTGCCAGAAATATTTTCTTATCAGTAATTACCTTAAATGTAAGTGAATTAAACTCTACAATTAAGACAGATGGGATCATCAAAAAGCACACGTATGCTGTCTACAAGAGATTCACTTGAGATCTAAAGATATAAATAGGTTGAATGTGAAAAGTAAAAAATAGTTCATGCACATAGAAACCAAGTGAGGGCTAGGTTGGCTATGCTGACACTGGACAAAATAGACGTTGAAGCAAAAACTCTTAGAAGAGGCAAAGAAGAACATTGTATATTGAAAAGGGTCTACTCATTGAGAAGAGAAGGTTTTTTCAAGTACATATAGGGCATCCTTCAGTGTAGACCATATGTTAGGGCACAAAACAAGTCTCAAATTTAAAAAAATACTAAAATCATGCAAAATGTCTTCTCTGACAATGGGATGAAACTAAAACTATAAGAACAGGAAAACTTGCAATTTTTTCTAATATATGGGAGTTAAACAACATAACAGAATAAATAAATAAACAACACACTCTTAAATACCCAATAGGTCAAAGAAGAAATCACAAGGGAGTTTAGAAAAGTACTTTAAGACAAAATGAAAACACAGCATAATAAAACTTATAGGATGCTGCAGAAGCAGAGCTCTGAGGGAAATTTATATCTGTAAATGCCTGCATAGGAAAGAAGAAAGATCTCAAATGAATAACTTTACACCTGAAGGAACTACAAAAAGAAGAGCAAACCAAAACCAAAGCTACCAAAAGAAAGGAAATAAAAAAGGTTAGAGTAAGATAAACAAAATAGAGAATAGAGAAACAGAGGAAAAATAAAAATTTGTTCTTTAATAAGATCAACCAAATTGGCAAGTCTTTAGCTAGATTGACTAAGAAAAATAACAAAAGACTCAAATTTCCTGAAATACAAAGGAAAGGACATTAGTACTGACCATACAGAAGTAAAAAGGGTTATAGGAGAATACAATAAACAATTGTATGCTAACAAATTGGTAACCTAGGATGAAACAAACCAACTACCAAACTGACTCAAGAAGAAATAGAAAACAGACATATTGGAATAGACCATGACAAGTAAAAAGATTAAATCACTAATCAAAAACCTCCCAAAAAGAAATGCCCAGCATCAAATTGCTTCACTAGTTAATTCTGCTTTGCATTTAAAAAAGAATGAATACTAATCCTCAAACTCTTCCAAAATATAGGAGGGACTACTTTTGAACTCATTCCATGAGGCTAGCATTAACCCTGATAATAAAGACAGACAAAGACATCATTAAAAAAAATTACAGAAGAATATAATGAATACAAATGCAAAAATCCTTAGTGGCATACTAACAAAAATGAATCCAGCAGCAACTTAAAAGGATTATGCACCATGGCCAAGTAGGATTTATCCCATAATGCAAGGTTCAGTGTATGAAAATCAATGTAATACACCAATAGAATGAAGGAAAAAATCCACATGATTACCTCAGTTGATGCTAAAAAAATCTCATACCTTTTGATTCAAAGATACAAATATGTTGAAAGTCAAAGAATGAAAAGATATTCCATGCCAATAGAAACAAACTAACAAAAGTTTTGTTGGCTGTAGGAAACAAACTAACTAGAAACAGAAGGGAAATTCTTTAACTTGAGAGTGGATATTTATTAAAAAATCCACAGCTAACCTCATACTCCATAGTGAAAAAACTGAAAGTTTTCCTCCTAAGATGAGCAGGACAAAAATCCTTGCTTTCACCATTATTCAAACACTTTACTAAAAGCTCTAACTAGAGTAGTTAGGCAAGGACAAGAAATAAAAGGTATCCAAACTGGAATGGAAGAACGGAAATTGTCTTTATTAGCAGATGACTTGATTTTCTTTTTTTTCTGAATTAAAAAAATTTTTTATTGTTCAAATAATTTGTTTCCATTTTCCCGCCACCGCTTTTCCCTATCCCCCCTTCCCCCACCTCCCACCCTCAATCCTTCCCCACTTTGGCTTTGTCCATGGGTCCTTTATACATGTCCTTTGATTTGACCCCTCCCCTTCTTTTCCCCTTTACCCCTCTCCCTCCTTCCCTCTCCTTACTGTTGGTTTTTTTTCTTTCATGTTGCTGGTTATATTTTCCTTGCTTGTTCTGTTGATTAGGTTCCCCTTATAGGGTGAGACCCTATGGTATTTGTCTTTCACCCTCTGGCTTATTTCACTTAGCGAAATGCTCTCCAGTTCCATCCATGCTGTTGTGAAGGGTAGTAGCTTGCTTTCTTTCTGCTGCATAGTGTTCCATTGTGTAAATGTACCATAGTTTTTTGATCCACTCATTTCCTGATGGGCATTTAGGTTGCTTCCAGCACTTGGCTATTGTAAATTGTGCTGCTATGACATTGGGGTGCATAGGTTCTCTTGAATTGGTGTTTTGAGATTTTTAGGGTATAATCCCAGCAGTGGATTTTATATATAAAAAATCTTGAAGAATACACATGTACCCTGGCCAGTGTGGCCCAGTTGGTTGGAATGTTGTCCTGTAGACTGAAAGGTCGTAGGTTTGATTCCTGGTCAGGGCATGTACCCAGGTTGAGGATCACAAGAAGACAGCCAATCAATGGTTCTCTCTCACATCGATGTTTGTCTCTCTCTCTGTCTCTCCGCATTCCTCTCTAAAAGCAATGGGGAGCCCTGGCTAGTGTAGCTCAGTGGATTGAGTGCTGGCCTATGAACCAAAGGGTCACTAATTCGATTCCCACTCAGATCACATGCCTGGGTTGCGGGCCAGGTCCCCAGGCGGGGGCGCTCGAGAGGCAACGACATTGCTGTTTCTCTCCCTCTTTTTATGCTTCTCTTCCCCTCTCTCTAGAAATAAGTAAATAAAATCTTAAAAATAAATAAAGGCAATGGGGAAAAATGTCCCTGGGTGAGGATTAAAGAAAAAATGCTACAGACACACCTATTAGAGCTATGAAACAAATTCAGCAAAGTTGCAGGATACACTCTGGCTGGTGTGGCTCAGTGGATTGAGCACTGGCCTGTGAACCAAAGGGTCAATAGTTCGATTCCGAGTCACAGCAAGTGCCTGAGTTGTGGGTCAGGTCCCCAGTAAGGGGCATGTGAGAGGCAACCACACATTGATGTTTCTCTCCCTCTCTTCCTCCCTCCCCTTTGTCTAAAAATAAATAAAATCTTTAAAAAAAAGTTGCAGGATACAAGACCATCAATAAAAATCAATTAATTTCTATACACTAACAGTGAACAATGTGAAAAGAAAATTAAGAAAGTTCCAGGTTCCTGGAGTGGGTTTGTAGCGGGGAGGACCTGGAAGATAAGGAGGTGGAGAAAGTCCAGCCTGCCCCATCGCTGACCCCGTCAGACGTGACCAGCAGCCAGCATGGGGTGGCATAGCTCTTGGGCCGCTGAGCAGCTACCATGGGCAGGGCTTCCCCCTACTCAACGGCAGACTCAGAGTTCTTGGGAACTGCTGGAAATATTGATTGCATTTTACTTCAAAAGTCTTTCATCCAAAAGAAGGAAAAAGTCCACCATGAAATACTATAAGAAGAGATAAGAGCCAAACAAGGAGGATGTGGCTGCTGACTGGATGATACCTCATTGCTCCAAGGTACAGAGCAAAGACCAATAAAAGGGAGGATTCTTCCGTGGCTGTGGATCTCAGGGCGCCCTGCAAAGCGGGACTGCCACACACTGCGCACCGCCAGGAGCTGCTCTCCGCAAAGACGACGGCTTGCTCTCGGCACTGAGCCTGCAGCTCTGAGAATGGCTTCTTTAAAGTCCCAATGTATGTGTCCAAAATTCTGGGTTCTAAGTACCAATGCCTAAGGTGGCATTTCTCAAATGGAGTGTCGTGACACTGGAAATATGCCCCTAATCTGCACATTCTGAAGACTGGATACAATCGACTTTTTAGACATTAGAATGATTCAAGATTACATCTTTAATAATGTCACTCTCATTTGCATTTCAGTAACTTCCTGAAGGGCCGAAGAGCCAGTGTGCCAGGAGTGACACATGGGATATGCCGTACATTTTCCATGCATGTCCCGACAGGGAAAAGTGTGAAAACTTTCAATCTGATGTGGTGCGCTGAAACGTTACGTAAAAGCTCCAGGATATGTCCCCAATCTAATGAATTTTAAAAAATCCTTACATAATTGGTTCTAATAAATAGGCAGTTACTGGAATTAAAAGCTCCAGGTTTTGCAGTGTCTTTGCCATGGACCAACTCCATTTCCTCACTTGCAGGTGTGCTGCTGGCCTCAGGCCTGGGGTTAGAATGATGAGAGCTTTGTAGGACCAACTGACGAGAAAGCCTTTGGACATGTCAATAATTACAGCACCGATGATAATTTTGGAGAACCTGGAAATTCAGCTCCTTCATAAGCTAAAACTGAATAAGACTATAAATGTCACCTGAACAGAAATAATAATGTCTGCCCCCTGGGATGAACCGCTAGCCAGGCACTGTACCAAGCATCATGCTGTTATTTAGCCTTCACAATTCTATGTGGCAGAAATGAGGACGACTTTACATGGAGAAACCAGAGGTCACAGAGGTGAACCCATTCACAGTGACATGGTTTATAATAAGTAGAACTGCCTGGCGGATGTCCAGGGCTCTTTCTCGGGTCACCTTGGTTCTGTGACCTGGACAGACGCGGCACCTCTATAACATCTACTACAAGCTTTCACTAAAAAGATATATACCTCTTGCAATGGCGACCATTTATTTAGAATGGCATGGCAGATTATTACCAATGTTCCCCAAGAGCCAGTACTCATCTACGTGTGGATAGAGACGGGTTATGTTTCTTGACCCTTCTTGAAGTTAGGTGACCATGTGAGCAGTTCTGGCAAATGAAATGTGAGTTAAAGAAGTATGTGTCACTTCCAGGGTGAAGCATGTAACCACAGTGCTTGGTTCTCCAGGCCCCTCTTCCTTTCCCTGGCCGTCATGGAACCCGCATGGCCGCGGTGGTGCCCCAAGATCAAGGCCGCCTGAGGTGCTGAGCCAGCTTGTGCACAGCTTCTCTAGAGTCATGCAAACCCAGAGTGGATTTCACATGATACAGAAATAAACTTGTATTAAAAAAAAAAGTTCCATTTCCAATAGCATCCAAAATAATAAAATACTCATGAGTAAGTTTACTCAAGGAAATAAAAGATGTGTATAATGAAAGTTATAAAATATTGCTGAAAGAAATAAGACTTAGATAAATGGGAAGACACCCTATTCATGGATTAGGAGGTTTAAGACGTAAAACTATCCAAAACAAACCACAAATTCGTTACAATCCCTATCAAAATTTTAACAGCCTCTTAAAAAAATGAAATTGAAAAGCAGGTCCTCAAATTCCTATGGATGTGCCAGCGGCCCTGAATGACCAAAACGATATTGAAAATGAACAAAGTGGGAGATCTTGCACTTTTTGACTTCAAAACTTAATGCAAAGATAAAGTCATCAAAACTGTGGTACTGGCATTAGGATCAACATATGCATAGACCAGTAGAATAGAATTAAGATTCTAGACATGAGTCCGACTATCTATGGCCAGCTGATTCACAAGGGTGCCAAGATCATTCAGTGGGAAGAATAGTCTTTTCGTCAAATGGTGCTGGGACTGCTCGATATCCACTTACAAAAGAGTAAAGTTGGACTGCTTTCTCATACCATATACAAAAACTGACTCAAAATGGATCAGCATCCTAAGTATAAAAGCCGGAACTCTTAAAGAAAACATAGGGGTACGTCTTCATGACCTTGGATCTGGCAATGGATTCTTAGATGACATCAAGAGCACAGGTAACAAGAAAAAAATAGGTAATTTGGACTCATCAACATAAAAACATTTGGGAATCTAAGGACACTATCAAGAGAGTGAAAAAATAACCCACCGAATGGGAGAAAATACTTGCAAATCATATATCTGAAAAGGGACTAATATCCCGAAAATATAATGAGCTTCTACAACTCAATGATCTAGAGTGACCGATTTCAAAAAAAGGTCAAAAGACTTGAATAGGCATTTCTCCAAAGAAGATACACAAATGACCGATAAGCACATGAAAATATATTCAACATCACTAAGCATTAGAATGGGAAATGCAAATCAAAACCACAATGAGATACAACTCCATACCTATTAGGACAGCTAGTATAAAAACAACCATAAATGGAAAATAAGTGTTTGTGAGGATATGAGAAATTAGGGCCCTGTAGATTTCTTATAGAAATAAAAGATTTCATCAACCATAAAAAAACAGATTGGCAGTTCCTCAAAAAGTTAAACATAGAATTACCACATGATCCAGCAATTCCACTTCTAAGTATATACCCAAAAGAATTGAAAATAGAGACTCAGATACTTGTACGCCAATGTTCATAGAAGCATTATTCATGATAGCCAAGAAGTAGAAGCAACCCAAATGTGCACCAATTGATGAATGGGTAAAGGAAATGGAATATTATTCAGCCTTAAAAGGAATGAAATTGCTACATGCTATAATGTGGATCAATCTTGAAAACATTATGTTAAGAGAAACCTCATATGAAACAAATACTGTGTGGTTCTACTTAAATGAAGTACCTAAGATAGGAAAATTCATACAGAAAGTAGAATAGAGTTTCTTAGGAGCAGAGGGGAGAGGTTATAATCAGTATTGTTCGTTGGGTTTGGGACTTCTGTTTGAGGTGGTGAAATAATTCTGGAAATGGATTGTAGTGATAGTTGCACAATATCGTAAATCTACTTGATCCCACTGAAATAATTGTACACACAAAAATGGTCAAAAATAGAAATGTCATGGTATGTATACTTATGAACAAGCAAAAAGCAAAAACTAATCCTCCAGCACGCAATTCTACAGTTTAAAAAGATGAATTTTATGGCACATGAAGTATATTTCAATTTTGAAAATTAATGAGCTAACCTGTTGGAAAAGAACAATAGAATAATATCAAAAAAGAAGAAAAAAGGGACATAGAAGGGAAAAAGAAGGAATGTAGATGAAAGGAAATAGTAAAGATAAGACCAAAAAGAAAGAAACAGAAAACAAAAGATTCAATAGAAAGTATCAATAAAGCCAAATGTCAGATCTTAGAAAATAATTAAAATAACTTTTTTCATGAGACAAGCTAAATAGAAGCCCCGAAACCTGTTAGGAATTATAACAGGAAATTACAGGTATATTTGATATCAGAAATCTAATACTTTCATGCCAATAAAGTTGAAAACCTAGCTGAAATAAGACAATTTTCTAGGAAAAAAGGTTACAAAACTGTCTCAGTAAAAAAAGCAAAACCTGCATTCATCTTCTATGTTCATACATGTCCTTTAATGGTGATAAAGTGTTGAATTAGTAGTTAAAATTTTTTATCTCTCAAAACAAACCTGGACTAGATGGTTTTATATTCATGGAACGTGTAATTCCAGACCTATAAAATACTTTAAGTAATAAATAAATGAGTGTATCTACCCTGTCCACAGACAATCTATTTTGTGAACCTTAATGCCAAAACTACACAAGGCCGGTATGAAGAAGGAAAATTACACCCAATGTGATGAAGTTGGACACAAAAATTCAAAACAGAATGTTAGGAAACTGAATTTTAAAAATCTCTCAAAAAGATAATGTACCATTACCAAGTTGCTTTTCTTTAGGGATGCAAGTATTAGAAAAATTGACACATTTTATTAACCAGCTTAAAATATTAAAAAAGAAAAAAACCCTGTAAGATCATTTCAAGAGGTGCAGAAAAAAGTATATCATGAATATTGTTCACGAGAAAAACTTAGCAAACTGAAAAAAAGAACTTCAAACTAATAATGGGAAGGATTTATTTTTAACCTGATAAAGGGTACCTGTGAAAAACCTATATCAATATTCACATTAAGTTGTGAAACTTTAGCAGCATTCCAGTTATTATTGATAAGATTTATATTAGAGTCTTAACCAATGTATAATACAGGAAAAAGAAAAAACATTTAAGGATTAGAAAGTGAAAAACTATCATTATTCACAAGTGATATGATTCCTGCATAAAAATCCCAGAAGAATCTGAAAGAATTATTAATTAATAAAGTTAATAAAAAGTCCAGCAAGTTTGTTGGCTATATGATTAATAAACAAGTTGAAATATATTTAATATACCAGCAACAAAAAAAGATAACATTTCTAATAATAAAATAGAAAAAAAATATTTAGAGGCCCTGGCAAGGTAGCTCAGTTGGTTAGAGAGTCACCCTGATACACCATGGTTGCAAGTTCAATCCCAAGTCAGGGCACATAAAAGGATCAGCCAATGAATGCATAGATAAGTGGGACAACAAATAGATCCCCCTCCACCTCCTTCCCTCCCTTCCTATCTATCTATCTATCTATCTATTTATCTATCTATTAATCAATCATCTATCTCTGACCCTCCAAACCTTGCCACCCCTACAGATCTCAGAGATCATCTTTGTGTCCATCTATAGTGCTGAGTTCTACATGAAGGTCTACGTGGACCCCATCAACTACTGGAAGGATGGCTACAACCTGCTAGATGTGATGATGATTGTCAATCTCTCAATCCCCTACGCTCTCCGCAAGATCAAGGGCAAGCACTACCCCTACCTCAACATAGCTGATGGCATGCAGTCCCTGCGCATCCTCAAGCTCATTACCTATAGCCGTGGCATCCGGGTGAGCAACTTGGGGGGGCCGTGGTTCTGGGGGTGCCGGTGTCAGGGTCTGCCTGCCCACCAGCCCCCGATAAAATAATAATTGGACTACTGTCATCCAGTTAGTGAGTCCTACTGTATGGAAGATTGATCTTTACTAATATCTCATTTAATCTTTTAACAGTGGTAGGAAACACATTATTAGCTCCATTTTAGAGATGAAGAAATTGAGGCCCAAGGTCTCTCAGCAGTTAGATGCTGGAGCTGAGATTTGGAAGGCATGTCTGACTCTAGAATCCCCTGAACTTTTCCTCTCTGCCAATCCGCAAACTGTACCATTTTCTTAGGTGCAAACTCTTCAAACTACATGCCCAGGGCAGGGGAGGGGGGTTCTAGCTTTCTGGTAGCCCAGGCCACTCACTGATTTCTCCAAACAGCTAAAAATCTGCTGCTTTTGACGGGGATATTCTCATTACTCGGTTCAGACAGCTCTGGAAATGCTGCTCCTGCTGAGAAGTCATGGCGTGACCAGCTCACATGTTAGAGCTGACCTGCCATTCCCTTGGGCATCAGCCTGGACGCAGGAGGCTTGCCCTGGCCCTGCGCCCTGTGTCCCTGCTTCTCTAGGAAGGGGCTGGTTTGCTCTTATGTGACCAGTGAGGGTGTGCTAGCCTGTTCTGCCAAGAGATTGTTCCTGGCCCAGCCTGGTGCCTGTCTAGGGCCCAGAACGGACACTCGGGGAGCCCCGGTCCTGGGGGAAAGATCAGGACCATGTGAAAAGGCTGCCCAGCCACAAAGCCCCATTCACTCATCCCCTGCCCTCATGGGGTCACACACCTTCCCAGGCGGTGTAGTCCAGCCTCCCCCTCCTCCTCGCAGCAAGGCTTTGCAAAGAAGTGTCTGTACTCCCAGTCCCCCTTTCCTTGTCTGGCACTTACGCCCTGGCTTCCTCCCTCCGCTCCAAAGTCACTAGTCCCTCTGAGGTTGCCAGCAACCTCCTTGTCATCAAGTCCACTGGTCATTTCTCTCGTCACTGCCTTCTCTTGGTTTTCCTCCTGCCTCTTGGGCGTGACTTTCCAGGTACGTTTCTTTGCCTGGCTCCTGAGTGTTGTTTTCTCAGGACCATGCCCTGAGTTCTCTTCTCTGCATATTCCTTTGGGGTCACCTCTTCCACTTTCCGGGCGTCTCCACCTTCCCATGCCTCCCTCTTTGACCTCCTCCCCCAACTGCCTCCTGGACATCTTGCATGCTCCTCCAACTCGGCACGTCTCAGCGGGGAGTCATCACTCGCTCCCCGGCCCCCTCTCTCAAGCCCCAAACCCTGGCTCCTCCTTTTGTCTTTTGCTGAAAGGCCCCCCTCCCCAACCCTGTTCAACTTCCAAGTAACACAGTTGAGCGTAAGCTTTGACTCCTGTCTCCCAGAGCCCTGTTGTATGGCTTCCTAAATAGTTACTGAACGTCCACTTCTTCTCATTCCCATAGTCATCATCTTTTCTCCGCCACCATCCACCTTTACCTGGGTTCCTGCAATGGCTTCCTATACTATTGAGAGTTTCAGAACCAAAATGCCCTAACAACTGGGGGAATCTCCAAAGCGGGCATGAAATCATGACACCCGTCCTTTTGAAACCTGAGTCGGGCTCCCCTTGGTTGTAGGCTAGAGACAGACCCTGCAATGTGACCTAGGAGTGGGGAGGGGAGAGCCTGAGGTTCTGGGCATTGGAGTTGATGTCATGTAGATTCAAGAGTAAGGCAGGTGGTCAGGAGAGAAAACTGGGGGTCCCTGGGGGGGTGAGCACCAGGCGGTGAGGAGTGACCACGTAGTAGGAAGCGAAGCCTGGTTTTTCCAGGTGTTGGGCACCAAGGGAGGAGGGGTCTAATGTGGTGCAAGGGTCGCTGGGGTCGAGGAAGTCAAGGCACGAGGAGGCCTGGGGGGTGGCGGGGGCCAAGGCCCCCAGGATGACAGCAGGATGGGGTGGAGCCTGAGGGAGAGATTCCGAGACAGTGTCCTGGGTCCCAGCTCTGTCAGGTACCTGCTTTCCTAGCGTTAAGCTAATCAGCGGTTTCCTGGCTTAGGAAAAGGGGCCTTAGTGGTGGAAGGCGGTGCACGGGCCAAAGGGCTTGAGAGTTGGTCCCAGTTCCGCCACTGTTCTGGAGCCTGGCCAAGCCATTCTCTTCTCTGAGCCTCTGGTCCCTCGTCTTGAAATGGCAAGAAGGGTAGGTGACACCTGGCGGCCTTGACGCGATGTCTGCGGCAGCGTCTAGGCAAGTCCACATATACCGAGCACCTACGACATGCGGGATTCCGGGCCGTGAAGAGTGAACGATAGGAGCCGTGCAGTGTGCGCCCCAGGAGTGGGCAATGCAGTGGGAGGCTGGACTGAGGTCACAAGACAGAGACCTGCCCGTGAAGTGGGGCCCAGAAAGAATGGGAAGCCACGTTCCTCTCCGTCCTCTTCATTCCCGCTCCCTGAGCGGCCCCTCCCTTCTTCTGGGGCCTGGAGGGGCACTCAGGGCTGGCCCTTGGTGAGAAGCAGGGGCAGGACACCTCGGCATGATCGCTCGTGGAGCCGGGCAGGGGTCCGAGCGGGGCAGTTAGTGGTGCTGATGGGGGGAGCCCCCAGACCTGAGGCGGCACACGATCTGCCCATAGATGGCAGAGGGCGGAGGCCAGGCGCTGGGAACGTTCGGCTGGTCCAGCGCTCAGTCCGGGCAGAGTCCTCCATCTCTCCATCCAACCGTTTATGGGCAGGCAGGGCACTGGATCTGGGGACCGCCGTGGTCCCCTGAGCCCCGCCCTGCCGCGGCCTTGCCTAGCCTGGCCCCTCTGCCTTGCAGACGCTCATCACCGCCATTGGGCAGACAGCCTACACTGTGGCCTCCGTGCTCACCCTGCTCTTCATCCTGATGTACATCTTCGCTGTCCTGGGCTTCTGCCTGTTCGGAGGTCCAGATGGCGGCAACCTGAATAACTGGGGGAACCTGGCTCAGGCCTTCTTCACCCTCTTCAGCCTGGCGACGGTACTGTGTTTGGGAACAGTGGTTGGGGCGGGGGCGGGGGCTCCTTGAGAAGGGACTGCCAGCTGGTGTGAGTGTGTGGACATGCTGGGCCTTTCCCATGTTCAGATACCTCGCTGGGCCGTGGAAACTGAGGCAGGAGTAAGTGCTCTGGCCAAGGGTCCATCTCTGTCTCTAATCTTGTGATGCCCTAGAGCATTCCCACTGGTCTTACAGAGTTGTAAAAATTTCAAAGGGTTCTCGAAAGGTGATTCATTTGGATTAAGTTTAATTTAGAAGTGAAGCCCACGTCACATAGCCTTTTTGGAACAGGCTGTCACAGATCCACGCAGAATAAGCCTGCAAAGCCCAAGCCTAGAAGTCTAGACTTTGTTGGACTCTGGAAAGACTGGAGTCCTTCCACAGGAGTTCCTGGCAGAGAGGCAGTGTCTTTGGAGAAGGATGGGAAGCCTTTTGGAGAAGAGCCCTCGGGGCACCTTGGCCAGAAGGGCCCCCGCCCAGTGGTGCTCTGCACCCCAAGCTGCCACGTATGCACTGCAGTCAGTGGATTGGGGGCTGCTGAGGGGCTGATATGGAGGCGGCGCCGGCCTCCGCCTAGTGGAGTGGGGGCTCCCATAAGGTAGGTGAGCAGGAGGCCCCCTCCCCGGGCCTTGGCGCTTGGCATGCCCCCCCTTCGCCCGAGCAGGTCGATGGCTGGACAGACCTGCAGGGGAAGCTGGACGACCAGAATTTTGCTCTGAGCCGAGCATTCTCCATCACCTTCATCTTGTTTGCCTCCTTCATCTTCCTCAGCATGTTTGTGGGGGTGATGATCATCCACACTGAGGTGAGGCTGCGTGTGTAAGGGTCGGGGGTTTGGGCCCAACTCTGCAGGGAGGGCCCTGAGCTATCTCCCTCCTGAAGTGGAGGGCAGGTGGCCAAGGGGGCCCCTCTCCACCCAACCCTACCCCTCCCTGAGCCAGTGCATTTCCCTGCCTCATGGTGGCGGCCAGGAGACAGGGGCTTGGGACGCCACTGCAGCTGCATCGGCAGCCTGAGTTGCGGGTCCTCTTGCCAAGGGGTCTGAGCCGCAGTGTGAGGCTAGGGAGGGAGAAGGCCTGGGGGCGGGTGTGCAGAGAGAACCCTCGCTCACCTCTTCCGCTGACTCCAGGACTCCATCAAGAAGTTTGAGCGGGAGCTGATGCTGGAGAGGCACATGACGCTCCTGAAAGAGAAGCAGGTGATCATGAAGCGGCAGCAAGAGGAGGTCAGCAGGCTGATGCAGACACAGGTGTGTGGTCTCCCCGGCAGGTGGACACACAGATACATGGACAGACAGGCTGGCGGAATGGCCAGGAAGAGGGGCCTCAGGGCCTGTGGAGAGGGCAGGCTTTACTCTCGGTGCTTAGTACTTCTCTGGACCTGTGAGCGCGTGGAGTGCTCAGACTGTAGAATCTCCCTCCTTCCGGGGCCCGGCCGGCTGCGCTGCTGGGCTCTCTGCCTGCTGTGCTCTTGTTACTGCGGCTCACTGGGTGCCAGATGGGCGCAGGCCCCCGTCCTCTGAGCGAGTGAGGCCATTCTAAACCGAACACAGAGAGCACAGCAGGCTGGGGAGTGTCTGTTGGGCAGGATCCAGCCACTGGGGCTGGGCTCTGAGCCCCCTGTGCCGCGCCTGGGGCGCTCTGCCCGGCTCGGAACCGCGGTCCCTGTCTCCTGCACGTGGTGCGTGCATCCCTCCTCGGCCTCCTCTCTGAGGCAAAGACATCTGCCTTTCTTGATTGTTCGAGGTTTGTTCAGGGCAGACGAGGCCATGTGAGCCATACTCAGGCTCTCCCGGTTTCCTTTCTGTGTCATCCGTCCTGACGTCAGTGACGGTGGCTCACGAGGTTACCTCGGGCCGGGAGTCCGGGCTCAGAAGGGGCCAGGTGACTGGGATTAGGCTCAGGACTCGTCCTGGGGTCAAGGTCAGCTCTGCTGGGGCCCCTGTGGAGGGTCCCCAGGTCTCTGTGCATCTTGGATGTCACCTCCTCCTTATTGTTGACTCTTTATTCTTCCCTCTCTAGAAAAATGTTGACTACAGAAGTTTCACTGAGCTGGTGGAGAACTTCAAGAGGACCCTGCGGCACACTGACCCCATGGTCTTGGATGATTTTGGCACCAGCCTACCCTTCATCGACGTCTACTTGTCCACTCTGGACAACCAGGACACTACGATCCACAAGTCAGTCCCAGCCCCACTGCCCCTGGCCCAAGGAGACCAGGTGTCTCCCGGTCCCCTGCTTCCTTGAGGTGGAGCGTTTCCGGTGCCCTGGGGGAGCAAGGGCCAGGATGGCCAACGAGCCGGGCGGGTGGAGCGAGGCCCTGCTTAGCCGTGCAGGACTCCGTGAGTGCACAGGGCTGGGCTGGCGTGAGGACAGGCCCAGGGCTGTGGCGACTGTGCCCCCTGCCCCTTGCAGCCTGCCCTGGCCTGTGTTCAGCGCTGGCTCCTTTGACGCCCCGGCCCCTCCTTGCCCGCCCCTTTCAAGGGCAGAGGAAAGAGCATGGCTGGTGAGCCAAGAGCCGAGGCTCCTGACCTGGTTCAGCCAAAACCTTCCTCTGTGACTCGGGCCATCTCCGCCCCTTTCCCACCTGCCATGTGAAGGGCTGCTGGACTGATTCCATGACGATGTGAGCTGGGCCTGGCCCGGAGCTGTGCTCAGCGGACATTAGCCGGGGTTTTAATTGCAGGAAGGGGGCCTAGGCGTGGGCTCTAGGGAGCCACAGTGGGCTCTTGGAACAAGGAAGGACACACTTGGCCCGGCTTCTCAACAGAAGTCCCCTGGAGGGCTTTGTGGACTGGAGGAACTACCGGGGCTGGGGGGCATCAGGGAGTACCCCTCCTGGCCCAGAGCGGGCCAGGCAGTGCCTGGTCCCCTCCATATGGTCACCTCACTCAGCCCAGGAGTTTGTTGTCTCTAACTTGACTCATGTGATAAAAAGAACTTACTCCGGGGGCCACAGGTAGAAGGGCGGGTCTGGATTCCAGTCCAGCCTGATGGGGCTCTGAAGTCCTGGCTCTTTCCTGCCCTTTCTCACCTGCCAGGTGTGGTGCCTGCCCAGGTGCGATGTGCGGGGCCCAGCCCCACGCTCATGCCCCCCCTCCTGCCGCACTTCCAGGCTTCAGGAGCTGTACTACGAGATTGTGCACGTGCTGGGCCTGATGCTTGAAGACTTGCCCAAGAAGAGGCAGTCCCACTTCTCAGTAAAGGTGGATGACGAGCTCCGAGGCGTGGGGAGCCTCGAGGCTGTGAGGCCCGAGTAAATGCCGGCTTTCCGCATTAGCCTCTTCGTGGTTGCTGTGGTCGTGGCGCTTCCCCTCCTTGTCGGTTGGGTCTGACAGGTGCCCATGGAGCCTGATTCCCCAACACCACCCACCTCACGACACTGCCAGGTCTTGGGAGTGGGGAGAAGGGGGCTCAAGACTCGTCCCCACCAGTGGCCACACCCAGAGGCCACGCTGGGTCTCTCCTCCCTTGACTCCAGCAGCAGGGACCCACTGAGTTCCTGGGGAAGCCGCCTGAGGACCCCGGACTGAGAAGGGCCTCGGACCCAGCAGCCCCCTAAGAGTGTGCGGCTCCTTGGAGCTGGTGTGACCTTCTTTCTTCTGGAACCTCTGCTGGGTTCATCTCCGGAGTCACCCCTACCCCTGGCAGAGCTACACCCCCTCCGCAGGCCCACTGCCCTTGGACCCTCTTTGGAAGTCGCCTCGGCATTCTGCTAGGCTCACAGAGGCCTGGTGCTCCGAGGGCTCTGCTGTGTGGGCGTGGAGCTCAGGGCAGGCTGGTCTGGCTGGCTAGCCTCAAGCGCTTCGGGCTGCTTCCCCTCTTATGGTTGGTTAGGACTCTTCACTGAAAAGGTGGGATTTTCTGCAACATCCCTAGTCAAGTGACAGAGCTGCCGGAGTCCTGGTACCACACTGGTCCAACCATGATGGGGCCATTCGAAGGCCCAGGTAGGGCAGGAGGCTGGTACCTCTTGCTCCCAGCTGACCAGGCCAGAGGTCTGGCTGTTTCCCTTCTGCTCCATGGCCAAGGAGTGTCCTTGAGGCTGGTCACCTTGGCAGTAACATCTCAGACAGAAGGGTGGGTTCTGGGAGGAGCCGAGTGCAGAAAACCCGAAACCCACACTCGGGAGTCAGGTCAGCGGAAAACACATGGGGTTGGGTTGCAAGTGGCTGGACCAAAGGGTCCCGTGGGTGGGCCCATGGGTTCCAGGCCTGGGTGAATTAATAGCCCTGAAGCCCCAGGACAAGAGCAGGTAGAAATCTACTGAGTTTTGCCATGTATAAGGTGCTTCCGTGTATAGTGTGCACCCATGTTTTTTGGTCCAAACTTTCAGGAAAAAAAAAATCTTTCCTTTTAATTTTTCAATTTAATTATTTATTTAGATTTAGATACTTGTTTTTTGTACTATAAAGGAATTTTAGCATTTATTTTTGAACATACATGGTACAAAAGAACTTGAAGTAACAAATAATTACAAAACACAAAACAGATACAAGGTATTTCAGGTACTACCCATGTGTAACGCACATCCTTACTTCTCCCTTAAACATTTGGGCAAAAAAGTGCGCATTATACAGGGCAAAATACAGTATATTTATGGTTTCATTTCTGTATTGATCGCTGTTTTCTGAGCTGTGCAGGGTGCTGGGGTTCTGTGCAGAGCCTGCTCCTGGCCTTCCTGGCGCCCGCGGTTGTGTTGGGGAGACAGACATCCCATCAGACTGGGAGAGAAAGTTCCTGAGGAAGTGACGATACTTGTTTGAATGCAGAGAGCACGCATCTGCTGGGGCACTCGATGTATGTCCATTTGCAAACGTTCACAGTCTCGGGACAAAACCGAGAAGTGTGTGAGCAGGGTGAAGGATTGCTCTGCAGAGCAAGGCTGGTCTCCGTGCCATGGGGCGCCCTCCGAGGGCTGGGAACGGAACTGGCTGCCTCCTGGTGCAGAGGGAACTCTGTACCACTGCCCGGGAGCCGGACCTGAGGCACACAGGGTGACTGAGCCCTCGGTGGCGGGGAGGAGGCGCAGGGCCTTGTGCACTCAGTGCCTAGCTGTGTGGGCTGGGGGCTCCCGGGGTGCAGGGTGGGTGAACGCAGTTGGCGGGGTGGGCGGGCCTCCGGCGGTGGCTCCACTCGGGGAGGGGCACAGCGGACATGGCCCGATGCCCACACTGGCTGCACCAGCCTTGCTCAGGGGAAGGTGAGAGCACACCCAGCTGCTCTCCCCCCGCACCCTGGGAATTGCTCCCGGCACCTGGGAGCAGCAAAAGATTCAAAACTTGCCTCCGGAAGTCAGTCAGTACCCTGGTTTTTGAGTCAGGAGACCTGGCTTCCTTCATCGGGGGGACCTTGGGCAAGGCGTCCTGTCTCTGGAAACCTCAGCTGTTTCCCCTGAGAAGTGGGCTGATAAGACTGTAAGGATCAGATAAAATACACATGACAGTGTGAAGAAAAGATGTAGTCAACTTAACGGTTCGTGCTCTCTGGCTGTCAGCTCCGTCTCTGGCATCAGATGCAGAGAGGGCTATGGCGGTCAGGGGCTGAAAGGGACCGGGCCAAGGTCGAGGAGGCGGGAGGAAAGTGTGGAGCTGCGAGCAGGGAGCAGAGGCCCGGAGCCGCACGGGGTGGGGCTGACGCAGGATGGCAATGCCCCAGGCAGACCCGGGCTGGGAGGCTGGCTTCCGGGCATAGCAGGGGAGCCGCGAGCCCGGGCCGCTGGGCTGCGGCAAGCTGCGTCTGAGGGCGCACGCAGCAGGCTGTCATGGAGCAGAGCACTGAGAGGGCGACCTGCAGAGGGCTGGCCCAACGCTGCTGGCAGAGCAAGCCGATGGATACTTGGCGCAGACTCCCAAAGCAGCATTTCTGTTTGGCCCTGTTTGCCTGTAGAGCAAACACTGGTAGGTTGGAATTCCCACTTGGGCTCTCACCAACTCAAACAGGCTTGGCCAAACTTTGAATTGATTTGCTTGGGGCAGAAGTGGCTCTGCTTGTCCAGGCCTGGCAGTGGAAGCAGGACCCTCCTCCCCTCCCCCTGCCCTGGGACCCAGCAGAGCTTTCCCCCCATGGCTCGCTCTTCTCCCGTCTGCCAGCCTGGTGGTTTGGCAGTGGGAAGCGGGGGGCACCTGAGCCTGAGTCTCCTGGTTACACCCGGGCCCTCCCCCAGCTCTGTAAGAAGGATCTGGAATCCAAGGCTGGAGGTGTTTGGAAAGTGACCAGATTTTTTTTTTCAAACTGCTGTTGATTCCACCAGCAGGAAGCAGTTCCTGTGCTGTGGAGATCCAGGCAGTGCCTGAGAGTGTGAGCTCTCCTATTTATCCCCGCAGCTGCTGAAGTCCAAGACAGGTGCCAGGGACTGTACACCACCTCCTTTCTTCCAGCATGGGTGAGACAGGGCGCCTCTCAAAATGAGCAGCCCTTCACCCATCAGGCTTTACTCTCAGGGGTACCTCCGTCTGTTTTGGTCTCTGTCCTTAGCCCCGCATTGCCTGGGTCCGCTCCACTGTCCCGCAGACACAAGAGAGATGGCCTTGAATTCCTAATTAGGCTACACGGAAAGGAGAGGGGGTGGTTGCTGATCCCGGTCACAGGGATGGGAAGTGGGGAGAAAGGAGCGGGACTTCGCGGAATGCCCACTCTTCCCACGCGCTGCCACCAGGAATGGCGTCTGTCCTTGGCTGGCCACCTGCCTCCCCGGCTGTAGCTCTGACTTCGCTTTCAGTCTGGTGCGACGCAGCGCCTGGAGAACGGGGGAGAGCCAGGACTGGGGCGCTGGAAGGAAAGGGGGCCTTGTGCCTTCTCGGTCAGCTCCTGGGTTCTCCTCCCCGGCGGAGGGTCGGGGAGATGGGAAGGACAGGAGAAATCCACCTGGGTGCTAATAAGGCTGCGTGAGCCTGTGCGGTCCGGCTCTGGGACACGGGGGAGGAGCGAGGCTGGCACCCAGGAGACAGAGACTTTTGGACAGAGCCTCTGACACGGTGGGAGTATGAGACCTTGAGACCTGGAAAAGGGAGAGATGGGGGTGACAGGTGTCCTTGTGGGGTAAGAACTGGACCCTCCCCGAGGTTCGTTCAGTCAGGCAAATAATGACTGGGATTGTTGAAAGATGAGTTGTGGAACAGATTTGAGTGCAATATATTGCAGCCTTTGCAGAGTCTGCAATATATTGGGTGACATAAAGATCACCCCGTATAATAGAAAGCTGTCAGGCCAGAACTGGGACGTGTCCAGAGGGGTCTGCAAACCACCGACAGAGCCCCCTGCTGGGATCGGAGACCTCTGGTGAAGTGCTCCAGGGGGTGGCGGCACCAAATGCGACCGGCTTTTTGAAAAATGAAACTGAGGTGTCAAAAGGAAGTGGGGAAGAGGCCAGAGGGGATGAAGGGGAAACTGGAGATGGGCCCCGACCTTTGTAAGCCGGTGGGGATCCCACGACGCTGTCGCAGCAGGGCACCCCACTGTTCGGCACCCTGAGAGTGCAGCCGCCCCTGGACCCCCCTCCTCAGGGGACCTTGATGCCTGGGATTGGGGCCTGAGATGAAAAGTCTTCTTCAAAACTTGCCTCTGGACCAGAGACGGAGGAGTCCAAACAGTTCAGGCCCAGCCTGCAGAGGAACAGCCGTTGTCTTTGTTGGCTGTGCATAGAAGGCCTTCTGTGTAGTCAGTATTTCTGAGTATATGATACTTACCCATACCTGATTGGAATCTCAAGGTAACACTCAGGTATTCTAATTATTCCCATTGAACCGGTGGTAAAATGGAGGTTCAAAGAGGCGATATAACCTGTCCGAGGCTGTACCACTACGGGAGGAACCAGGACCCACAAGCAAGCGTGTCTGGCTCTTTGTCCGCCCTGCTATAATGCTGGCCGTCAGTCTTCTACGGAGTTGTTACGCCCTTTTCATCGGGGGGTCAGCAGGCTCTCAGAGGCTGTCACTTGGCCAAGATTGTCATTGAAGGGCAGCGTCAGTATTCGAATGCAGGCCATACTTGTGCCCCTCTGCTCTGCTGCCTTACAGCACCCTTGTTCTTTCATATCAAAGTTATTTTTATTTTTATATTTTTAAAGATGATATTTTATTTTTAGAGAGAGGGGAAGGGAGAGAAAAGGAGAGGGAGAGAAACATCGATGTGCGAGAGAGGCATCAACTGGGTGCCTCTCGCATTCCTCCAGTCGGGGACCTGGCCCGCAACCCAGGCCTGTGCCCTGACTGGGAATCAAACAGGCGACCTTTGGTTTGCAGGCCGGCACTCAATTCAC